AATAAAATTCTAGTACTTCATTAGTTTATAAACTATCACTAAATAGCAGATATAGGTCTCTCTGCATTGAACACGTACAGTTAAAGATGCAGCTTGCTAGCCAAGATAGCTGATGTTAGCAAATAAAATGATATCACCATCAAGCTCTCATCACTTCAAAACAAACAAACAAACATGGCAGTGTTTATGCCAAAATTGAGGCTTTAGAACAAAACTAAATATCTGCATCCATTTTTTTTAAAAACACATTGCCACTGCTACATAACTATGATAGTAGCATCATTTTCATCTGTTTCAAGACTTCTCTTTTTTTTTAATATTGATCAGTTCTGCTAAACTGTACAAATTTTATAGTACTTGAGATTGATCATAACTGTTGGAGTATGATTTGTCTTCATATATATCTAATTTCTTGCTTGTGCGCTTGCTTAAACCTGTACATAAGCAGATATCCCTGAAGTCCTCATCTTTGCCTGTGATTCACCTGCCACCTCACGTGTTTCTCTATGTAAGCTTCTCAGGATCACTAATCTCTACCACAAGAATAAAGCACCTGTGGAGTGATTCATAAATTTGCACGTGTGATAAACAGTACTGACAATCTCATATTAGAAGAGATGCAAGATCACCAAGCTCTGAGCACAAACAGGTTGGTGGTAAGGTGCGAGTAATTTCTAGTTTTAATGGCAAAATTATCAAAATCACTCATGAAGTCTGTTATTATCATAGGAAAAAAAGGAGACATCCTCCACACATACACATATGAATTTCCAGCAATTAATAAAAATGATAAGTACCTGGTTTCTGTCTCATTCCCCAGCAGAGGTGAGCCGAAGCCTCCAGGTCCACCTCCATCCCCTCCAGCCAACAGGCACAGCTGCTCTGAGGTGAGACCCAGTCCTGGTCCCTGACCCCGGGCTTTGGGACTTTCCCCGAACACAGAAGAGGTCACAGAGTCTCTTCGCAAACTCTGTCTCCCTGGAGAACCCCGATTGGGCATGGTTGCTCCATAGGAATCTCTCATGTCAGGTATCTTCTG